TGATTCATAGTGTGTGTCATAATTACACAGGAAGTCTTGCAAAGTGAACCTGTTCACTAAATGTGATTTTCTTTTCTTCATCAGATTCAACCCAGAAGGTATTTATGTCTCCCCCTGGGGTTAAATCAGTGATCTTTTTCTTTTTAGGTGAATGTGTAAACCACTATGTTACTTCATTCGGTGCATATTTTTACAATACTAACTTATCTCCCAAAAAGCAGATAAGAGCTCTATTGAAATATTATAGTGTACAGATCATAAAACAGTGTTGGAAAGGTTTAGTCATCAAACTGAGCTACAGATGGAAGTTGCTCCAGTTTTAAACAAAGTAAGATCAATTACAGTCCAAATACTTTCATACAACATACAAAAAACAGAAATGGAAAATATGTCAAACAAAATTAGAAAAATAGTGTGGTGTTCCTTTACTTAAGTATATATTCAGACAAACACTCTTGACACCAAGGTTAATTTACGATTACAGCATCCATCAACAGCAGAGCAGGGCAGGAGGCAACTCCCAGGCAGCGTTTGCACAGATTTGTGTCCACGTTTGTGACCTAAGAACTCAGGCTCAACCATGGGACTCAATGGACGGCAAGCATAAGTGTTTGTTTCTGTTCTAAGAACAAATGAGCTTGTGGTTCCTCTTCCTTCCCCTCACTCACACGTCTAATACAAACACACACTGGGTGGGTGTTGGGGTTTATTTGCCTGCGCTTGGTACATGGCTGGCAGTGATTGGTTTAAGCTGCACATTTTTCAAAAGCCACACTGACACAGTTTCACAGAGCTTGATATTGTTTCCTCCAACATCTCTAGAAACTAACGTTTAACAAAATCCCCAGTGATTTGTGTCTTTTTCTATTTTGAGAACATTTGAGGACTTTGTGGCTTATGACCGAACCCCTGGGTGCTTTTCAACGATAAGTGGTGAATAGTGGGAATGCTGCGACCTAACTTGACCCAGCGATCATTCTTGTTGCTACATGTTTGGCCTTCATTTTCATTGGTTTTCGTTCTATTGTCATGCTGTGAGCTGTCATCTCAGACTGAAACTTCCTGCAGTCTGTGTAGGCTAACTGTGTATGAGAAACTGTTTATTTGGGGTAATGTATTTGGGTGCGTATGTATCATTTTGTACAGATGTCGTCTTTAGCTCAGTTACTCTGTGATTCAGAGTTCTGGTTTTGGGGGGATTTTTTTTTATTGAGAACAATGATAAACACACTCAAGTCACAGGGTTGCTTCCACATCCATTTTTAAACAATCACACTTTTTTTTGCTGTCGCTAAAGTACTCCGGCTGTGCATTGGAAAAGCCACAGGTTTAAGGATGTAGGCCAAGTTCAGGTCTCAGTTTAATCAGCGTTCATAGTAGCTTGTACTACTACATATGCAATTTTCAGCAAAAGTGACCTGATAAAGACAAAGAAGTAAAGTTATCTTTCCTGTTGGGGCCTAAGTGGCCATGTCTGGAAAGTCTCTCTTATCAGCACAATTCCATATTATTATATAATTATATTTATTTCAAATAGTTTTCTATTGCTCTATTTTCTCTATTTTTAGAGGAATAAACTTTGTATTCAGCATTTCTCCCATTTCTAAGATGCTTATTGTGGGGCCAGGATTCTGACTGGTGCGCATTACAAGAGTAAGAGGTCATCTTTTCACATCTGGCATAAAAATAAGCAAATGAAGTGTGTAAGTTATAAGTTTAGTATCAATCGTGTGAGGGACCAGTTTACACGCCGCTTGTTTAACGCAAAAATCAAAGCTAAAGTTTGTTATTTTGTGTTGTTATGTGATATTTGTTTTAAATGTGTGCCCCAGTATCTGATACAACTATTAGCTGTTATTGTAGCCTCTGTTCTGTTCTGTCATCAGTAGGGATCTCTCTCTCAGCCACACATTTCTTGTGAGAGTTGTATGTGTTGACTTCTGTAAACTAGAGCCAATGGAAATTTGGAGCAGTGTCTCAGGATGAGCAGTGGGGGGTAAAATCATAAAACTGTGCTGTCCCATGTAAAGTGAAATACTTTGTAACCTTAGTTATAAAGTATAGTTGTTGTAATAGATTATTATAGGGGAGAAGTGAGAACTGAATCGATGGGGTTATGTAGTATTCAGAACACTTTCCCAAATATTTAAGGGATGAGTCAGAGTTAAAATAATAGCCCTGTGCCAATCCTGCACTATTTCAACACAAAAGTTGATCCATAAAATCTTTCATCTACAATCCTGTGAAAACATGTTTTTTCACAGGACTCTGTGCAGTCCTGAGCTCCCCATGAACCAGTAGTGTGTAGAACAACCTTTAGCAGCAATAAATTGAAGTCCCTTTCAGTATGACTTCATGAGTTGAAGTCATATGATTTATCAGTGACTAATTAGTGTCCCGCATCATGGAGGAACTTTGCCCCTCTCTTCGTTACAACTTTGTTGAATTTTGCAGGCACGGCTCTCTGAAGGTCCCACCGCAGCATTTCAGTCAGGCTGA